GCAATCTACAGATTCAATGCAACCCCCATCAAAATACCAATGACATTCTTCGGAAATAGAAAAAACAATCCTAACATTTACGTAGAACGACAAAAGACTCCAAACAGCCAAAGCAATCCTGAGCAAAAAAAAAAAAAAAAAAAAAAAGAAAGAAAGAAAATAGCTGGAGGCATTACACTACTTGACTACAAAGCTAAAGTAACCAAAACAGCATGTCACTGGCATAAAAATAGACACACAGACAAACAGAACAGCATAGAGAACCCAGAAATCCACCTACATACTTATAGCCAACTGATCTTTGACAAAGGCACCAAGAACATACAATGGGGAAAGGACAACCTCTAATATATGATGCTGGGAAAACTGGACATCCATGTGTAGAAGAATGAAACTAGACTCGTATGTCTTGTCATATACCAAAATCAACTCAAAATGGATTAAGGACATAAATGTAAGGCCTGAAACTATAAAGCTCCTAGAAAACATAGGGGAAACACTTCAAGATGTAGAAATTTATGCATAAGACCTCAAAAGCACAGGCAACAAAAGAAAATATAAACAAATGGGATTGCATCAAACTAAAAAGCTTCTGAACAGCAAAGGAAACAATCAAAAGAGTGAAAAGACAACCTACAGAATGGGAGAAAATACTTGCAAACTATACCATCCAACAAAGGATTCATATCCAGAACATACAAGGAACTCTTAACAACTTAACAGTAAAAAACAAATAATGTGATTTAAAAATGGGCAAAGGAGATAATACACATTTCTCAGAGGAAGACAAAAATGGCCAACAGGTACATGAAAAAATGTTCAACAACACTAATCACCAGGGAAATGCAAATCAAAACCACACTGAGATATCATCTCTCCACAGTTAGATTGGCCATTATCAAAAAGACAGAAAATAACAAACGCTGGTGAGGATATGGAGAAAGAGGTACCCTCCTACTCTGTTGGTGGGAGTGTAAATTAGTGCAGGCATTAAGGAAAATAGCATTAAGTTTCCTCAAACAACTACAGATAGAACTGCCATACGATACAGCAATCTGACTGCTGGGCATATACCCACAGGAATGGAGGTCAGCATGTTGAAGGGATACATGCACTTCCATGTTTACTATAGCTTTATTTACAACAGCTAAGAGTTGGAACCAACCTAAATGGATGCTATGGATTGACTAAATTGTGTACCCAAAGTTCATATATTAGAAACTTAATTCCCACTGTAACTATTGAGGGTGGGAAATTTTATTATGGTACTTGAAAGGTGGGGCCTTGAAGAGGTGATTAGATTTTAGGACCATGCAGTAGTGAATGGATTAATAATGGTGGTTAGGGGTGTTGTTCTGAGGGCTTTAAAAAGGAGAGTGAATGAGGAGGTTGCGCTCTTGCTCTCTTGTCTCTGCTATTTTCTGCCATGTGAGACCCCAGGTCACTGTTGCCACCAAGAGGACCCTCACCAGATGTGTTCCCTGGACTTTGGACTTCCCAGCCTCTGAAACTGTAAGCAATAAATTTTGTTGTCTAATAAATCACCCAGTTCTTTTGTTATAAGCATCAGAAACAGACTAATATAATGGACGACTGGATAAGTAAAATGTGGTATATATACACAATGGATTACTACCCTGCCATAAAAAAGAATGAAATTCTGCCATTTGCAGCAACATGGATGAACTTACAGAAAATTATGTTAAGTGAAATAAGCCAGGCTCAGAAAGCGAAATACTGCATGACCTCACTCATAAGTGGGAGGTAAAAAACAACAACAAAAAACCAAATAAGTAAAAAAGAAACAATAATCACAATAATTCATTGAACTTTCAAAAGGAGAGAAAAGAATTGAAGCTACTAGAGGTGGGAAAAGAGGGAAGGGGAGGAGAGTTATGAATATGTTTTACAATGATGAATATGCTAATTATCATGATTTGATCAACACACGTTGTACATAGGTACTGATATTCAACTCTCTAGCCCTCAAATATGTATAATGAATTATTTCAATAAAAAAAGGAAAGAAAGAAAGAAGACATAAAAAATGGAAAGACATCCCATGTTCACGGATTGAAAAAAATCAATAGAGTCAAAATGTCCATACCACCCAAAGCAATCTACAGATTCAATGCAATCCCCATCAAACTATCAATGACATACTTCACAGAAATAGAAAAACGATCCAAAAATTTGTATAGAATGACAAAAGATCCCGAATAGCCAAAGCGATGCTCAGCAAAAAAACAATAAAGCCAGAGGCATAACACTACTCAACTTCATGTTATAGTACAAAGCTATTGTAACCAAAACAGTATGGTACTGGCATGAAAACAGACACACAGACCTATGGAACAGAATAGAGAATCCAACAATAAATCCATGTACCTATAGCCAACTAATTTTTGACAAAGGAACCAAGAATGTGCATTGGGGAAAGGACAGACTCTTCAATAAATGGTGCTGGGAAAACTGGATACCCATATGCAAAAGAATGAAACTAGACCCTTATCTCTCACCACATCCTGACATCAACTAGAAATGGACTAAAGACTTAAATTTAAGATTCAAAACTATAAAACTTCTACAAGAAAACATAGGGGAATGCTTCAGGATATAGGACTGGGCAGAAATTTCATAAATAAGATCTCAAAAGCACAGGCAACAAAAGCAAAAATAAACAAATGGGATTATATCAAACTAAAAAGCTTATGCACAGCAAAAGTAAAAGCCAACAGAATGGGAGAATATATCTGCAAACTATGCATCTGACAAGGGATTAACATCCAGAATATATAAAGAACTCAAACAACTAAGTAGTTAAAAAAAAAAAAAAAAACTCAATTAAAAAATGGGCAAAGGAGATAAAGAGACATTTTTCAACAGAAGACATATAAATGGCCAACAGATATATGAAAAAATGTTCAGCATCACTACCCATCAGAGAAATGCAAATCAAAGCATGACGAGATATCATCTCACCCCAGTTAGAATGGCTATTATCGAAGACAGAATAACAAGTGCTGGTGAGGATGTGGAGAAAGGGAAACTCTTATACACTGTTGGTGGGAATGTAAATTAGTACAACCATTATGGAAAACAGTATGAAGGTTTCTCAAACAACTACAGATAGAACTACCATATGATCTAGCAATCCCACTACTGGGTCCCACTACCCAGAGGAATGGAAATCAATATGTTGAAGGGACACCTGCACTCCCATGTTTATCGCAGCTCTATTTACAATGGCCAAGATATGGAACCAACATAAAAGTCCACTGAAGGATAATTGGATAAAGAAAATGTGGCATATATGCACAATAGATTACTATTCAGGCATAAAAAATGAATGACATTCTGCCATCCACAGCAGCCTGGATGAGCTTGGAGAAAATTATGTTAGGTGAAATAAGCCAGGTATAGAAAGAGAAATACCACATGTTCTCACTCATGTGGAAACTAAAAAAGTTGATCTCACAGAAGCACAGAGTAGAATAATGCTTACTAGAGACTGAGAGAGGATGGTCAATGGACACAAAGTTGTAGAGACAGGAAGAAAAAAGACCTAGTGTTCTACAGCAATATAGGGAGACTACAGTCAACAACAAATTACTGTATAACTTCTTGTAGCTAATTGAGAAGATTTTGAATGATCCCAACACAAAGAGGTGACAAATGTTTGAGGTGATGGATATGCTAAATACCCTGATATGGTCACTGAACACTGCATAAATGTACCCAAATATCACACTGTACTTCATAAATATATATAATTATCATGAGTCAATTAAGAAAAGATAAATTAAAAAGGAAAAAAAAAAGTAGAGAGTAGAATATTGGTCACTAGAGGCTGGGAAGGGAAGGAAGAGGGAATGAGGAGAGGCTGGTAAAAGGATACAAAGTTACAGTTGGACAGGAAGAGTAAGTTCTGGTGCCCTAGGGTGACAATAGCTAATAATATTGTATTGTATATTTCATTATAGCCAGAAAGAAGGACCTTGAATGTTATCACCACAAAGAAATGATAAATGTTTAGGTGATGGATATGCTAACTATTCTGATTAGGTCATTATACAAAATATGCATGTACTTAAATAAACTGTACCCCATAAAAGCGTACAATTAAAAAATGTCCTCACAAGGTCCAAATTTATAGGTGTTTCACAAAATCTACATATAACACAATTTTCTCATTTTTCTTAATTATTATAAAAGGAGGAGGAAAGTGCCCCATTTACTTTTATGAGACTATAACCATAAGATCATAATCGGACAGGAAAACAAAAAAGTATAGTCTAATTCAATCTGTCAGTACAGAAGCAAAAATCCTAAATAAAGTACAGGTTGAGCATCCCTAATCCGAAAATCTGAAATCCAAAATGCTCCAAAATCCAAAACTTTTTGATCGTCAACATGACTCTCTCAGGAAAGGCTCATTGGAGCAACGCTCACTGGATACTTAAGTATCTCCAAATATTCCAAAATCTGAAAAAATACGAACTCCAAAACACTTCTGATCCCAAGTATTTTTTTTTTCTAGTTAAGCTTGGTTGTGGGGGGGAGACAATGTCAAATCTGCTCAACAATAACCCACAATGCCCAGACCAACCCCATGCATTTTGAATAAGGGATCCATAACCTGTATTAGGAAAAAGCCCTAGAGAAATACGTAAGAAGCAACTTTCCAATCTTTAGCAACTAGGGTCTATACATGAACTCAAGTTAATGTTAGAAAATATATTATATTATTCACGATACTTATAGATGAAAAGAAATAGCTCTAGCTTTATTCCAATAGATAAATAAAAGGTATTCAATATAATTCAGCATGTTCATTACTAACAAGCTGGTATCCAGAGAGAACCTATTGACACGGACAGAGGTTATCTAGCAAGAGCTGAGAGCAAACGTGGGAGTTCATAGTAAAACTGTGTATATTGTCCCTCAAGACTGACTCAATCTATTCTATTTCTTCTCTCCATTTAAGGCATGGATCCTTCTAAACCTCATCAATCCATGACAGTACAAGTGGGTGATAAATAGAGAGCTCACCTGAGATGTGTTCATTTTCTGTGGCTCTTGGGAGAGTGTAGAGAACTGTGAAGGATAAGCTGTGGGGACAGAAAGAGGACAGGGTCACACGATCCGGCCTGCCTTACCACTCCTAGATTTGAGACTTCCCCAAATCTCAGCAGCCCAGTTGGGCAGTGGCTTCCTAAGAAAACAGGTGCCTTTAGGCCTTGAAAAGGCATGGGCATGACCACGTAGAAGTGGCACTATCTGTCTCTATACAACTCTGAAATGATCATGGGGACGTGAACCTGCTGATTTTTATTGAGTGAACATAACCTTTTCTTAATTGACTTAAAAATAATGCACGTGTCCTTCTAACTAACACAAAGAAATAAAAAGAACAGAGGAGTAGTTGAATTAAAGTACACCAAAGGATAAGATACCACTCTTTCATTAACTTAGAATACTCAGTGTGCATCATTTACCTATTTTTTTTAGAGATATTGTTTACCCCCTGGTATAGACAATTCACAGCCTAGTAAAAGAGATATTTAACTGCATTAAATGGTATGTATTTCTCAAAAGGCCCGTTTGATAAGATGCTTTTGGAGACTCACCTGTGATAGTGAACTCACTGTGTTTCCCCCCTGGCTGTCACAAACCAAGAGTCCTTGAAAAGTCACTGAACCTTTCACAACCAATGCCTTTAAAGCTTTCAAAAGAATCAGAAGTAAACAACCCTGGAAAATCCTTCATGAACCGTCATTCTGGGATTCTGTGATGTTAGGATTAAATCACGATGGTCACAGGTGGTAAACGTGCAGAGCAGCACAGCATCTGTAAACAGTGGAGAAGGAAGGAACTGGGCTGTGTTGGGATAGTGGAGACAGACTTCACATCCTCTTCGGCCTGGTCACCCCTTACCCCCAGACCAAACCTCACAAGCTCTGCAGTGGCCTTTCCTGGGCAGCCTACCCCCTGGAGCTGCCCAGCTCACCTTGCTCCTCTCAAAGCTGGGCCAAACATAGTCTGTGGTGGCTTCTAGAGGTGGTATCACCGCCAAGACTGGCTCATTCTGGGCAGGAGGATCAAGACCCGCTTCTGATATGCAAAGCTAGGATGTCTTCCTTTCTGGGCTCTTCTGCCTCTGCTCTGAAGCTCGGGAGAGAGTTGTAAGTCAGAGAGATGTTCTTCCAGGTAAAATTCCTGTTTACAGAGGCCAAGAGCTGCTTTGTTTCAAGGAAATGGGACTGACCTCAGAAATAAATCCATTTTGAGAGCAAAAACCTAGCTCTTGGAATTCATTATAATACCAGACTCAAAAGATAGACAGCCTGAAAGTTCAGAAGGGGCCAGGAACCTGTCTGACCCAAGCGATCTGAAGACACACCAGAAGTCCCAGAATACATCTGACACATGGTAAGACTCCATGCACATTCACTTCCCATCACATACCTGTAAATCTATCGCTGCTCAGTGCTGGGAAGGCCGCGATGCTGGCTGTAGGCAGGTGTGACAGTAGGCAGATGACACCTGCCCTGGCATCCGAGCTGCCTCACCGCCAGCTTGGACCTGAGCACACCGCAGCACCCCGAGCCTCGGGGGTGACCTCGAATGCAGAGGATTACGCCGACATCACAGCGCGGTTATGAGGTTTACCTAAGTCATCCGATGAAAAGAACAGTGTGTTCTAAACATAATAGCAGGTGTCACGTACTCAGAGCTTCAGAACCGCACGTGGCTGCGTGCTTTACAGGTGAGGACTTACCTGAGTCTCGAAACACCGCCATGAAGCAGTCGTTAGTAACACCGTCATTTTCAGATGGGGGACCTGACTCCCACCCCGCCGGCAGGTGACAGAGCTGGAACTCACCCGGGTCTGTCCAGCTCCAGATCTCCGGCACCTGCCCCTGCCCCGCGCTCGGCCCCACCGCGCCCCTGCACCCGCGCTCGGGGTCCCTCCCCACGCGCCTCCCCGGCCGAGGGCCCGCCCGTT